AGAGCGGGAGCGGGGCCTCGAGCGCCGGGGCGGCGGGTGTCCTAGTGCCGATGACAGACTTGCTGCTCGGAGCCGGGGAGTGTGTGGGGGTGGGGGTGATAAAGCCCAGCACCTGCCTGTCTGCGGGGACCCAGTGTTGGGCCTCTGCCCCAGGCGCCCCCGGCCCCGCCTTGCTGCACACCGCGTCCTGGCTCTGCGCACTCCGGTACGGACACCGAGGCGAGGACGAGGAGCACGTGGGCCATAGTGACCGGAAATGGGCTGGGGGAGGAGGTCGGAGGTCAGGTCGCCACGGGGGCGGGGCTCGGCTCCTGCAAGCGCAATGGGCTGGAAGGTGTGCACATTTATTTTAAAACAGGCATCAGGTACACGCGTCTTCCGTCGGTTCTACCTGCCTTTAAAGAAACCGCCTTTTGAAAATCCAAAAGAGAATCCAAAGATTGTGGGTGTTTTTTGTTTGTTTGTTTTTGTAGTTCATTATACCTTCACTTGTTAAAGTGAAATTGAATTCCCCCTAAGTACTTGGAGAGTCGGTGGTGAGATAAAGGGCATTTCCTGTCCAGTTTACACCCTGACGGGTGGGATGCGTGCGGTCGGAGGGGGAGGAGGAGGAGGAGGAGGAAGAGGAGGAGGAGGAGGATGAGGATCATTAGGATTCACACCCTGATGGGTGGGATGCCTGCGGACGGGGGAGGGGAGATGGAGATGGAGATGATGGAGATGATGGAGATGGAGGAGATGGAGGAGATGGAGACGGCTGGTTGCAATGCCCGGAGCGGGAGCCGAGTGAGAGCACTTAGCCACCTGCAGGACTTGGCAGGCCTGTGGGAGGGCCCCTCGCCCAGATCTGAAGGCCCAGGGAAGGCTTTCCAGGGAAAGTGAGTAGAAACAAGTAGGAGGTGGCCAGGAGAGCCAATAAGGCAGGGAGAACCCCGGGGGTTCGCTTTGTGCCCCGGGGCAACTACCAGAAACCCAGGCTAAGGAGAGTATGGAGACTGAGGTGGAAGATGAGGCTGGCGAGGTTCACAGGGGCCCCGGTGGTTAGGGTGTTGTGATTCATTTTAAGGAGTTTTATGTTTATCTGAACAGTGACAGGAAGCCCCCGCTCTGTTTGATACTGGGGTGGAGTGACCCTGAGGGGTTTGGCCTTTGAAAGGTCATTCATTCTGGCACCAGCCTGGAGGCATGCAGACCTGTGGGGAGGCTCTTGGAGGAATCCAGCCCCACAAGGGCCTGGAATGAGAATGCGGCCTCCGTGGGGATGAAGAAAAGTGGGTCAATTTAAGGATACTTAGGAGGTAAAACAGGCAGGACTTGTTGAGGGATGGAGAGCAGTGGTTCTTACCTCCGGGCTATTGTTCCCCGGGGACTTCTGGCAATGCCTTGCGACACTTTTTGTTGTAACAGCTGTGGGGTCAGGGCGGACTGTTGGCACCTAATGGGTAGAGGCCAAGGTTGCTAATATTATACAATGCACAGGACAGCTCTCCGCAACAAAGAGTTATCTAGCCTCGAAATATCTACAGTGCCTAGGTTGAGAAGCCCCGATTTCGGTGTGGGAGAACGAGGAAGAGAAAGGGGCAAGTCGAGGATCATTCCAGATTTCTGGCGAGGGTACTCTGGTACCAGGTCCTGAAGATTAGCAATAAGGGGGAGAGCCGATGGCCAGGGGAGTGGTGGGAAGTACCGAAGTGATGAGATCGGTTTTGGAGTTTGAGGTGAGTGTGAGGCATCTAAGTAGAGATGTGCAGTAAGTGGTTAGATAGTCTGTACAGTGGGGAGATCTGGATTTCCAGCCCAGATTATAGGAACTGCCAGCGTATAGGTGGAAATTGACAAGAGGGGGAATGAGCTGACCTAGGAAGTGTATGTGGAGGAGGAGGGGAGGGGGCCTACAGAGAGTCCTAAGGATAACTGATGTCATACGGGAAAAGCAGAGGACAAGGACCTGAAACGGGGACAGAGAAGGAGCCGTCCAAGAAACAAGGAAAACTAGGAAAGCTCAGAAAAGGGAGAATGTCAAGAGCCTTCCCTATCCTCAAGTCTGGGTGAGGTGACTCCTACTTGCTTGTGGAGCGGTCAGGTTATATCAGAACTGGTTTTGCCCCCAAAATGAATTCACCTCTAGGAGCCCAGTGGTGCGGCAGAAGGCAGACTGTAGTAGACTGAGAGGACTCTGGGGATGAAAAATTGAAGAGAGCAAATACAGACAATGTTTGACGGAAGTCTGGCAATCTTGAGGAGGGGAAGGGAGTGGTGACTACAGGAGGAGTCGGGGCTGAGAGAATGCTTCTGAAAGCACTGAAGACTGGTGAGTTAGAGCTTTGTCCGTGGGAAAGAGGGAACTCACTCATGTATTCATCACTCAGTATTTGAGTGCCTTCTCTACTCCAGGTACTGTTGGAGGCAGTAAACAAAACACACAACAAATTCCTGTCTTCATGAGCATAGGCCCATGGTCGGCAAACTGCGGCTCGAGAGCCACATGTGGCTCTTTAGCCCCTTGAGTGTGGCACTTCCACAAAATACTACGTGCAGGCGCGCACATACAGTGCAATGGAAACTTCGTGGCCCGTGGGCAGAAGTCAGTTTTTGGCCTGGGCGAGTCTATTTTGAAGAAGTGGCGTTAGAAGAAGTAGGGGGTGTCAGTGGGTCGGGCCACAGGATATGCAGCGCGAGGGGGTGGGGGGGGAGGCGCGCGCGATTCATGCACGAGTTGAGTGAGCCAGTCAGTCAGCAGCCTCATTGTGCAGTTGTTAGTGCTATTCACGTTTGCAAATTCCTCACGGGTGACAAAAGATAGACGAAACAAGTATACAAGACAAGTGTGGATGGGAGAGTTGGAAGAGGTCGGCCTCAGCGAACGTACCTCAATCAGATTGAGGACATTTATAGCAAAGGCCAGCTTAGGAGTACCCTAATTAAGTTAATAACAATGTACCTACCTATATAGTTTAAGTTTAAAAAATTTGGCTCTCAAAAGAAATTTCAATCGTTGTACTGTTGATATTTGGCTCTGTTGACTAATGAGTTTGCCGACCACTGGGCTAGGGGAAGGAGGAGGCAGGGAGCACCTGACAGGGAGAAAGAATAAGTTGTCTCCCTGCAAAGTAGGGGTAAAAAAATAGAGTCAGAAGGGACCCAGCTCTACCTTCTCATTCATTCTTTATTTTACTAAATATACAATTAGGTTAGCAAGAGGTAAGTGAGTTTCTTAACTTTGCAGAATTCAATATTTCTTATTTTTAATCCTCACCTGAAGATATGTTTTTATTGATTTTAAAGAGAGAGAGAAACATTGATGTGATAGTTGGAACATTAAGTATCATTTTCCTATTAGACTGAGATTTATGATGTTTAAGATATGCCAGAACATTAATAGGTCATTCTTTTTTTAAAAAATCCCCATTCAAGAATATATTTTCCAATGATGTTTAGAGAGAGTGGAAGGGAGGGTGGGAAGGGGGGAGAGAGAGAGGGAGGCACACATTGATTAGTTGCCTCCTGACTGGGACTGGGGATTGAACCTGCAAACCAGGTATGTGCCTGTGACTGGGAATCGGACCCACGACCCTTCAGTGACTCTAACCACTGTCCCTCACTCGCCAGGACATATTAGTTAATTCTTAAAAAATTCACTGGCAAATGATATGTTTTTTGCTTTAGGATGAAGACCTAGTTTGCTTTAAAGATATCAAACCAGCAGCATCTCATCATTACCTTGTGGTGACAAAGCAGCATATTGGAAACTGCACAGATCTAAAGAAAGAGCAGATAGGACTTGGTAAGATGATGGCAGTATTCTTCACGATCCTATCATCTTGATCCCTCTATTCCCACTTTGCTGAGAGTTTTTATCAAAAATGGGTGTTGGATTTTGTCCAATGCTTTTTCTGCATCTATTGATATGATCTTGTGATTTTTGTCTTACAATCTGTTAATGTGCTGTATCACATTTTTTGATTTGCGGATATTGTACCAGTCTTGCGCAGTTAGAATTAATCCCACCCCCCTGGAATAAGTAAATTTGGCTAGGACCCCAAAAGTTAAGATTAATAACACTTTAGTGAACTTAATATCTTCTATAATGTAATGTAGTTTCTTTCCTGTTTTATAGTTGAGAGCATGGTTACTGCTGGAAAAACCATTCTTAAAAAGAATAATTTCACTGACTTCGAAAATGTGAGGTATGTATACTTCCACATAGAAACCAATATTCATAGTTGGTTTTTCTGAAATGTTATTTCCTCATGGGAAAGAAAAGCAGAGCTGGCCGAGTTTATAATTTAAATGCACTTTTCCTGAAAGTGAATGTATGGTTCATTGATAATGTAAATTTAATGAAAAAAACTTCTTCCTCTCATGTCTCAACATCTTCTAATAATCACCACTTATAGTTTGGACAGACAAGTATATTCAATCAGTGGGTAGTTAGAATAGTTACGAGTCCACTTTTCTTTGTTCAATATGTGCATTTCTATAAAATTGTGTATAAATCGAATTTCCTTAGAAAATATTTTATGTGGTTTAAAAATACATTATTATACTTTTAGCATGAAATTAACTTGAATTCATTGCCTGCTGAACTCTGGCATTTGTCAAAGTTTGAGCAAAAGCACAAAATGTTCAATTTGGCAACTGTTTTTTTGTTTTTAAATATTTTTGACTTCTCCTGTGTGACCAAAGCAGTGCCAAGGCGTGTATAGTGGAGATGGCCTCTGACACCTCTGAACTGGAATTCAGAGAGACCTGAATTCTAATGCTACCCATGCTGCTTTCTGCGTACTGTGCTTGTACTGGCTGTGTCATTTTAGACAAGTCTTTTAAGCTCTCCAAGATAATATCTGCTCTGCCTACTTGTAGGCTCAGGTGAGACTGTGTGTGAAAATCCTCTGAAAATGGTTAAGCAATACCCAAGAGTGATAATGACAAAGAACAAATGGTATTTGATGTCCTTTGGTCAAAACCAGTACATTCCCCTCCTAGTCACAGGAGTGCTTGCTTGTTATAGGAATGGACACTGGACTGGGAGTTAAGAGCCTGGAGTCTAAATCCTAACTCTACCACTCCCTAACATTGTGATTTTAGGAAGTTTGTTAAACTTTTTGGATCTTAGCTTCCCCATCTACACTAATAAAAGACAAACATACAAATTGACCATACCTTTGCTATGCCTTAAGCCACGCCCATCAGCCAATCAGAGTGACTATATGCAAATTAACCCAACCAAGATGGCGGCCGGCAGCCATGGAGCTGAAGCAAGCAGGAGGCTTGGTTGCCCCAATGATGGAGGAAGCCAAGCTTCCCGCTTGCCGCGGCAGGCTCTGAGCTCTACTCAAAGCAACAAAGTTTCAATTATAGAAGGTAAATAAACCCCAGATACCACC